GTGGGAGAACTTGCACAATTGGTGGCTGACTAAATACTTTTTTGCCCCACTGTAGATTAAGGAAACCACCTGTAGTATGATGCAACATTAGGTTAGACATATTGAAGTTTAAATTCATTGTGCATAAAGCTTGGTGGGTGATCTTAGATCAGCCCCTACTTGGCATCCACATGGCAAAGGACCTGGATATCTGAGGGATTGCCTGTCTCCCATACTGTCCAGATGTCCTGTGTGCTCCAACAGAGTCCTTTTCTCTGCCATTGAACCTGGCTTTTGGAATAGCAACCCTCTGGGGATCTGTAGGGCCCCCATCTTCAAGCTTTCCTTAAAAACCTGTTTTTTTACCCCAGGCCTTGGAGGTAGGATTGATAGAAGGGCCCTTTGATATGGTGGGGGACTTAGACAGATGGGTTTGTCCCCTTAAACAGGCATTGTTTTATGGAGTTGTTCTTTGTTTGGAACTGTTGCTCTTCTAATTCTGCGAAGCTTCCCAGAGTAATTTGAAATTGAGCGGCCTAGAAATTTAATAAACTAATAAATGAATAGACAAAACAATAGTTCTGTATGTTTATTATTTATTGCACTAACAGCTATCTTGGTCACTTGTGGTACAATGACAAGGTAAAGATATTTATAATAAATCAACACTTAAGTTAGGATTGTGTTTAAAAACACTGGGATTATTTGTATATTTCAACACAGTGGCAGAAATATTTGATTACAGCAGTTGCAAAGGAGAAAAGATCCATAAACTCTTCTTCAAAGCCTTTATCCTGATCAAAGCAATTCTCTTCCAGCAATCTCTCACAAATGGGTACAAATACCAGGGTCTGAAGAAAAACAACCCGGAAGGAAAGTTATAATTGCTTGAAAAAGAAGAATCTTAAAAAGAATTTAATTAAGTTTAGAGCACCACAATGGACTGATTATAGTTATCTTTCAGTATTGCTAACCTTGTTACTTGACGTATATTAATGTATGTATTTGTTCCCTCTAATGAAATGTCTATATTTGTGGACAGGAAAACAAGAAGACTTCGTGATAATGAACAAGAAAAAGATCGAGCATTGCTGAAAGCCATGATCAAAGTGTGGAAAGAAATCAAATCCCTGCGTGATTTTCAGAAGTTCCTTAACACACCCCTGAAGCTTTACTTGAGAAAGTATGTTTTTCCAGGAATTACATTGTTTGGTATATTAAATATAGGGCTTTCATGCATACATTAGTTCTGACTTAAATATAAGGCTTAGATCTCATTGAGGTGGCATAGTTTTGCAGCGCAGAGGCTAGTAAAGAGCTAGCCTAGTAAAACTCCCAGGGTTGTTGTGGGAATACAATGAAGAGAGATCCCCAAGTAAGCTGTCTTGAGCTCTTGGAAAAAAGGCAAGTTATAAAACACCCCCATCCCCCCAAATCTAAAACGCAGCCTATAATACCAGCAAAAATATGCTTCTTTGCCTGCAAAGTTGAAGAAACCCAGTAAAATAGTTGTTTGTATATATCTATGCAAGTACACTACTTGGGTGATTTGGCTGCAAAGATAAGCAATAAAATATTTTGTTTGGATTTACAGTCTTGCTCCATGTTATATGAATATCTGTAATATGCATGCATACTTTTGCATTTGATAGCCTCTCGGAGGGGGGACAATACACGGGAACAACATTGCAGCCACAAACTGTGATTTCTCAAGAGTATTTAATTGCAGCCAAAAGCTTATTTACCAGGCAGAAAGCAGTCCTTTTCTTCCATATAAAATGATACTCAATTCTTGAATAGTTGTTTGAAGTCAGAGCATTTCAAGTTCAGAACGTATTCTCCCTTTTGGAGTACTTGTCCCATCCTTACCTCACAATGCTTCGTAGTTATCTAGGAGAACCTAGGCAGCATGCAGAATACACTCTTAGTATCCTGTGGGGTATCATCAGTCAATCAATCAGTCAATCAGTCAAGGACAGCTAAACATCTGAAGCAAAGAAATAGGTTAACATTTCTGTAACCCCGTTGTTTCCCTTCAAGCATTTGCAAGAAGGAATCAATGCCTGGGTCATTATGGGATTGGGACCCAACAATGTTCCTATTTCAAAGTTGCAGTCCGATCAGTGTTACTTGCTGGAGGCTGCTGTGGAGGGCGTATACTACTTACATAAGAAGGGAGAATTAAACAGGAGTTCTAGGTCCTTATGATGAAATAGCAGTTTTGTTAAATTTATTAGATTTAATTTTCTGTTAATACCAGGAAGCAAAATTGATTAGAGAAGAAGCCAGGGGCCAAGGGGACTGTGAAAGGGCAGGGGTGCCTCTTAATTTTGCAACTCGTAAAGAATTAGTGGGCAGGAAAGAATTGAATTCCTTGGGGGAAAAAGGGCAACATAAAACACAAAGGAATGAAGGAGTGATAGTTCACGCCTGTGCTTCTTTCATGAAAAATGGTTGGGCAGAATCCTCAAACCATGATAGCAGCTAGGCAAAGAACCTTTCTGGCTTTTATTTCTCCCACTTACTGCATCCACTATTTTGTACAGTCAACACACATTCTGGATGCAGCCAATACTGCATTATACTCCAGAATATTTGTTCCTGGGTCCATCTATTTTGTATAAATGCAAATCTCGGAAAAAATCTTGAATTTTTTTTCAGGGTGTATAATTTTTTAATTGGATTGGGTATCCCTCTTACAAACAGAACAGAGGCCACTTGGAGAATGCCAACACATTTGTTAGGATGTAGTATACCAACACTGTTTTTATTTATGGCTTCGTTTTTACCACTGTTTGAAGGGAAGAAGTTGATCCAAAGCTGGATGAGAAGGCCTATGAGACAGAAATTCAGGCTGAAATAACTGAATTATTAGAAGAAAATAATGAAGAGTATGAGAAGAAAATGGACGAATATAAAGCTGACCTTCGGGCATGGAAATCATGGAAGAAGGCACAGGTATGAGTCAGTGCCGTGGGGAGGGGAATGTTTCTTGTTCATATATCACATTGGCTAATGTGGAAAAGAGAGGTTGCACATGGGCCCAATTGCCTAGCATAGTGTGGACTTCAACTCCCAGAATTCCCAGTCACTGGCTGGAGAATTCTGGGAGTTGAAGTCCACACATCTTAAAATTGCCAAGGTTGAGAAATGTGGATGATTAGCTATGACACAAAGTGAACCCTTATTTTTGTGAACCCATTATTGTCATAATGTAAATAAGGGCAAGAGTCAAATCTACTTACAATTCTTTCCATGTGAATCTAATCAACATTAGTAGGGAGCTTTCTGTGCCATTATTTACCATCATTGTCAAATGTTAGTGGCAATGTGTTTCAGTACTAGATTCAATCCACCCTCAGTCACAGAAGCTCATAGTCTGCTTATATCAGCCCAGTCTTTCCCAGAGGGTTGTGGTCATGTAAAAAAATATAAATCTAATAAAAAAATAAAGTTGATGTTATACGTCTAAGCCACTTTTAAGAACAAAGGCCTCTTAAAGCTTCCAAGATTAAAAAAAAATACAAGTAACTGCACACCTCTAATAATAGAATAACTGCAGTAAAAATTAATGACACCCAGCCCCCAAATGAATAATTACCATATTTATTTATCAAATAATTAGACATAAAAATGGTTAGCCCAGCAAAATCCATGCCATGAGAGGGCCACCAAAAACAAATATGTATTTTCATCCATGTAGAAGAATCGAAAGAAACAGAAAAAGAAATCAAGTCAAAATTTGGAAGATGAAGAAGCTGAAGAAACTGAGCATATGGAGGAACCTCTGAAGCCTCTTCCACCACCCCCAGTTGACCAACAGCAGGTGGAGCTGCAAGTTCGCAGAAGAGCTGCTGAGATCCGAAGGCAGCCTGGAGAACCAGTTCTAATTCCTGAATTAAGCCTGGTGGGGAGCGTCACTCCAAATGAGGCTTGTCCTAGGTGAGCCGTACTAGCATGAATGAAAATATCACTAGAATCTAGTCACAATTAAAAGCAGGTCAGATCTTGGCCACAAGTTCTCTTCCTGACATTTACTGGAAGACTTATCTCTCCCATAATCTGGGAGTCACACAGGAGAAGGCCCTTCCTGCATACCACATAACTGAGCTTCTGGCAGCTGGGCATCTTCAGAAGGGCTTCTCCTACTGATCAAAGTCACTGGGCAGGTTCATAGTAGACAATAGGGTCTTTTAAGGCTTTGAAGATCAAACCAGCACCCTAAATTGTGCCTAATAGGAAATCAGCAGCCAACCACCTAAGTGTCAAACCGCAGTCTCCTCAGCACCACATTCTGGACAGGAAGGATGAAACTCTGCAAAACAGTGGCCCAAAGCCCAACTTATCCTAGAAAGATTCTGTAGGAGTCACATCACCCATCTAATTTCCCCCCTGGACTGTTCACCAAAGCATGCTTGATTGAAAGAGCCCAGATAATTAGTTACATCCAGGTGCATCAAGAGGCACAGGGCCATCACTTTCTCAATCACTTTATCCAAAAATGGAAGATTGGAGGTGGGCCTGCAATTACAGAGATTGCAGGTCCAGGAGGTGTTTTTTTTTTAGTAAAGGTTGTATAACTGCCTCTTTTAAGCCATTTGGAGAGACACAGCAGTAATTTCTAAATGCTGCCTTATGCATGTTCTTAGCATCGGCTTATCCGTTGAATTTAATGTCTGAAGATTCTGTTTACGTGTGGATAATAATAAAAAAATGGTTTGTTCCTTCTCATTCAACATAAACTGGAAACGGTCATTTATCTGAAAAGTCAGCACAAAACTAGGATTTGGAAATTTTGCTGACTCTCCAAATCAGTTTCTAAGATGTTTATTTTCAGAATGCCTGGAATGGTAGCCAGATGTTTGAAAGTACGGACTGTGTTTCTACTCGCTCGTGCCATGAATTTAGCAAGGGAGCACTCTGTTTCCAATCCTATGGTCATGGGCCAAAGAGCATTTCAAGATGGCATCACCAGCATTCAGCAGGAAGTGTTGTGATTTTTCTTGTTTTTCAATTGAAAATCTCCTCCTTAGCTCCTCCTCGGAGGGAGGGAGGGAGGGAGGGAGGGAGGGAGGAAGGAAGGAAGGAAGGAAGGAAGGAAGGAAGGAAGGAAGGAGCAATTTCAGCCCTTCTCTCCTCCAGTGAAGCAACATCATGCCCTTCTTGGCCATGTCCTGCGCAGCTGTTCTGAAGCTCATTTTTAAAGCCCTAAGGCCAGCCTCTGCTTTCCAAGATGACTGAACAATGTGGGCCTGAGGTAGTGGTAGGCAGTCTTATTTTGGGGTAAGAGTCTGTGCTTTAGAGCTTTTCAGATGTTTTGGGTTTTTTGCCTCCCCAAAAGACATATAGGATGTTGGCAGCTGAAGAGGTTTTTCCCCTCTCTGTCCTCTGCATTGGTAGATGAAGGTTAGATCAAATTCCTAGGGCTTATCTCATTCTTATTTATGGCCAAAGGATGTTGCTTTTCATTATATGGGCCTGTGCTTTCTGCATAATGGCCTCAGGCATACTTTTTATTGTATTTTTTTAACATGCGGATCCAGATTGGATAATATTTCGCTCATGTGCAGAGGGGAAGACAGATCATACTTCTGCACATTTGAGCATAAGAGATGAGCAGATTATAACTAAATCCACTGCTCAGTCATGCAAGTTAAGCACATATACTTTTGATGTTAGGTTTGTACATTCTGTTCAACTGTTAGAGAATCAAGAGACCTTAGAGATGTGGAAATGTGATAATACACACTGCACAGAGTGAAGATCGCCTCATTCTAATTTGATCATATTTTAGTTATCAAAATCCTATGAAACATCTCAGAGACAAAACTGCCCAGACTGGCTGGGAGTGGGCAGCATATAACATGAATAAATTATTATGGTTGGTTGA